AGGTCAAGTCGACGACCACTGTGGTGAGTCAGAAGGCTGCTCCCCCGTCGCAGATCGTTAGCCCTACCCCTGCTCGCAAGGCCTCTACATCCTCCGTCAACGGTCAAACTCAGCTTGCGGCGGACGAAGAGGACCTTTCAACCAAGCCACGCTGTCAGCGATGCCGCAAGAGCAAGAAGGGCTGTGATCGCCAGCGACCTTGTGGTCGGTGCAAGGATGCCGGTATTGGTCTCGAAGGCTGCATTAGTGAAGACGAGGGAAACGGTCGCAAAGGTCGTTATGGTCGCCATATGGGCGTACCAGTTAAGAAAACCCTTGACGCGACCTCCCCCGCAAGCAATGAGTCCCAATTGATCGCCACTATGGCTATGCCTTCCTCATCCGCTATAGCAGACAAGAACAAAAAGCGCAAGCGTTAGTGCATGTGTTCTTGCATGCAATCACCGTCTTCGTTCATGGCATCTCATTCTTTTCGGACCATCTGCATCTGTCTTGGACAGCAACAAAGCGCTTGGATGATGTTGCTCTCCACGTGCTATCTTCTATGAACCCCTTCAACAACAAGAGGATCTAACTCTCCCGTCTCTCATTCACCGACATATTTCCGCTCCCTTATAACTTGAATCCTCCAATGCTTTACCGCAAATACGATACGAACACCTACATACCAGGTCCTATAGAACAACCCTCGAAAAGTGAATCACTGCGCGGACTCGGTACTGGATATTCAACCATTGAGTCGACAACGGTTTTTACCGTATCCGTGCTACGAGCGCTAGCGCTCCTTACATTCTCTCCATCTCGCAGTCCGTGTCCTGTTGCCATCTGCGTTTTAAGTCTCTGCTGTTTATCATGGATAGTCTAGCGATTGAACTGAGCGGGTTGATTATCTAGCTTTGTTTTATCTTTTGGCGTTCGTGTGCTTCATTCTACTGCAGACACCTTGGCTCAAGGGTTACCTCCACTCATTTATCTACACTGAAGTGCGTTCTGACAAGTTATGTCTGTTCAGTTTTTGTTTTTATTTACTTCACCTGCCTTGCCGGATTTGAACTTCAGCTGGAGTGTGAGGTCTAGTGTAGTTGAGTAAGGAATATATATTGTTTGCTTTTAGACCTGATTCAAGATAGCTTTAATTCGTAGGAGCGGCTTCCGAAACATCGAACTCTTGTTATAGTCCTAACTATTCAGCCAGGAATATTCTTCTTCAAAGAATCTTGCAGTATATGCTTAATTATCAATGCGCGTGAGTCCTCGTACGGATATAGTCGGCAGCTCATCTGAATCTCATATTGCCGTATTCGGACTAGTGGTGGTTGTCAACTCCGCATGCAAGCGCTAGACGCGCGCTTCTTTTTTTTCCCGCTCAGACTTGGATCATTTTACTCATCTTCCAGACTCCACAAACAAGCTCACCAGCACGCTCATTCTCGCAGTTTCAATTCTGAATTTCTTTTCTTTATCAATATACTTTCTATTAATAAGAAATTTTAGGGGAAACACCTGGATCCTCGTTTTGGTGCTTGATCAATGTACTGATTCCTCCGTTCTCTCCCTCCGTTGAAGCACACACCTCGTGCGCGCCAGATCCGCTGAGCAATCATGCCTCCCAAATCCGTCCGTCGAGGCGCAGCAGCAGCAGCAGGAGGAGGAGGAACAGCTCCGCGACAAACCACCGGCGAAGCCACATCAAACACTCCTACTGGATCCGCCGCATCCACACCCCAACGGTCCACAGCAGCCGGTACACCGTCCACAGCAGCCGGTACACCGTCCACACGAGCACCCGTGCAGCGCCTGCAGACTCTGAAAAAGCGCACACCCTCCGGAAGCATCGGACCCGCCGCGAGAACTCCCGCGGCGACAACGCCAGGAATTGGAGAGCCGGCGAAGCCGACACTGAAATACAAGCCTCGCGCTGTGGGACGGCGCAGCAAAGAGGAGCGAGATGCGATTGAGAAGCTTGAGGCGGAGCGGAATCGGGAGCGATTGGCTGAGGTGGCAGCCATGAGGCGGGGACGGGGAAATTTGCAGCGAGGCAGGGGAGGTCCCGGTCGAGGACGCGGGGGCCCTGGGGGTCCGTTTGGAGGCGGGCGACGAGGCCGTGGTGGGCGGTTTGAACCGGATTCGCGAGCGTCGTCTATGTCGCGGAGTCGGTCGGTTATCGATATAGCTAGTGGTTCCGCTAGTCGCCATGTATCCTCGGACGAGAGTGATACGGAGACTATACTTCCCATTGACCAGATCGAGGTCGATAGCGATGAGGAGTTGGATGATGTCGCGGATAGTAAGAAGGGAAAGGTTCCCTTGCGGTATGCGAACCGGGAGAAGGGCCTTCGGCCAGTTCGTGTTGAGCGCCGTGAGCACGAGGAACGGGTGGTCAGTGTCAACATGGAGTCGAGCACGAGTAAACCAGCCGAAGCTGAAACCAAGGCTGAGGATGAAGTGGAGGAAGTTCGTGCGAAGAAGACGAGGCCCGAAGACGATTCTCTCTTCGTGCGGGACGACGATGTGATTGAGCCTCAGGTGAAGGAGGAACCTGTTGATGAAGACCATACAATGACTGATGCCGTTCCCCATGTCGGTGAAGCAACACACGATGATGGCTTTCTTCCAGCGCAAAAGGTCAAAGTCCGCAGACGACTAAGTCCCAAGACTCCCGAGCCGGAACCAGCACCCGCGCCTGCACCTCCGTCGAAACCTCCTGTGGCAAAAGATCCGAGAAGCTTGCTGCGTACAAAGGAAGATATTGAGGAATATGAGAGACATGCCAAGGACCTTGCGGCCATACTGGAACTACTTTCCGTGGAGCCCAAAGAATCGAGGGCAGAGCGATCGGAGCCGGCTGAAGCGGCGGAGGTCTCAACAGAAGCACCCGAAACGGCAGTGAGTGACAAAGAGAAAGAAGACAAGGCCGAGGATGCCGAGGAGGACGAGACCAAGGATAAACTGGCGGGTCAGCTGTTCCTTATGCAGTTCCCTCCCATGACACCCAATCTTATCGTCCCGGGCACTGGCGGCAGCACGGAGGAAGCTGCTACGGAAGAAACGCAGGCTGTCCCCGGAGCCACACGACCAGGCGAAGCCGCCGTCAAGCTCGAGAGCGGCGAATTGGAGATTCTGGACGGAGCGGACAGGACCACAAGCAAACAGCCGTCCAAGATCCTCACCGCGGCGGACTGGCAGCTTCGCGCCGGACGAGTCGGGAAGCTGAACGTTCACAAATCGGGCCGAGTCACGATGGACTGGGGCGGGATCAGCTTCGAGCTCGACCGGGCTACATCGGTCGACTTCCTCCAGGAGGCTCTCATCGTCTCGGCGCCGGAAGAGGGCATCCCAGAGGAAGAGAACCGGGTATGGGCCATGGGGCAGCTCAGTGGCAAGTTTACTGTCACGCCTGACTGGGAGAAGATGCTTTAGACGGGGATTTTGGCGCAACAAGAAAGCATTAGACACTGTCTGCGATTGCCATGGCTATGTCTACGAACATCTTTGTTTTTTTGGGCTTGACTGTGTGCATAGGGTAGCGATTTTTAGAACATGTACAATGCATGATTACGGCCGTTGGAGTTTCAAAAGCTTTAGCTAAACATGGGAGGTAGTCAACGGGAGACTGAACCCGAAATCCTCTGCATCAGAACAGGATGATTACCAGACAAGCAAGCAGTAGCAGGGTGAAGAACGGGATTCTATGCTAGTAAATCCGATTCTATAGACGTGCATGTTCATTTCCACTAGGGCCGATTGGCTGGAGTCTGATTTACTTCGCTATCACAAGGACAGTACGCATACTAATCAGTGATATCGCCGGTCTATCGACCTTAATGGCATCTCCATATTTCTGCTATTTATGGAAAGGTGATAGTGATACGAAGGCAAGCGAACTTACTGGAATTGACCGGAAGTGTGACCACCTGCAGCCATGCAGATAGTCGAATACCTTATTCTTCTACTTGTAGTTCCGATAGGAAGCGTGACATAAATAAACTTCGTGCCTATCGACCAAGCCAATATTGTGGAGGACAGTATAGATACCCTCTTGCCTGGCTGTATCTACTGTTATATCTCTTGATGCCTAATTGCAGTGACGATTCATGACTTCTATATATGGCGAGATGACGGCAGATACATTTTTACATCACACAGGCGTGGACCCTCCGGCAGCCCTGACTGGTCGCTTTTCTGCCTTGGCATGAAACCAATGGGGAATAGACCCGCAGCCACCGTCGCAGAACTAACCCCTGCCTCACGCACCTTGATTGGCTGCAAATTGCTGATAAGCTTCTCAAGTCTTGCACGAGGTAACGATCGGCTACTACTAGTCCCAGACCGTGCTGACACGGCTGGTAGCAACCAATGGGAAAGCAGGGAAATTGAAGCCTCGCAGTGATCAACCCCACCTATCGAAAAACCCCCACCCCCCTTTAGGTGAGCGTGCGTAAATGCTAATTTCGAATTTAATTAAAGGTGGACGGATATTGTGGTTCTGGGCCTCTCATTTTTCATTTGAGTGGTTTTAGTTTTGTCCCTTGTCCGCCTCCTGGACGACTGCTTGCTGCTCCTTTGTTTTCGCGCGTTTCCTTGATTTTCTTCTCTTTCTTCCCTTCGTCAGTCTTCAGCTGTCTGATCTGCCTTCAAAAAGTTCTGATCCCCTTGTGTGTGCGTGTCGGTTGGGATCTGTTGCTCTTCATTTGAGTGTCGTCTCTTCTCCCCCACCGTCTCAAGTTTCGATCGCCCGTTCAGGAGACGCAGGTCGCTCGTTTAGTACATAGTGTCTCCTGAGCTCTAACCACAGGCGTGAATCTCGACAACGACCTCGTTCACCAAGTCAACCTGAGATTCGATCCTGTTTTCCAGCCTTCCAGCCGATTGTCACCGTGTGGACTTGTCGTCTCCTGAAACAGCATCAGCAGCAGGTCAGGAGCAGCGACTATCGCTAGGCTTACCGAACGTCGACACACCTGTACCGCTCAACCAACCCACCAAAAGTCACAATCAATATGAAAATATCCAACATCGTGCTCTGTCTCGTCCCGTCTGTGGCTCTGGCAGCCGAGTTCGAGCAAAAGCCTGCCGTTGCTCTCACACCCTCAGCACATAACCTACCCTCCGCTTCTTCGCCAGAACTTACCACGCCCTCGAGTATTGAAGACCTGCAAAGTGACCAACGGATCTACGATCAGTCCGGGAATGATATCACTTCAAGTCCGGACTACCCTGTTGTGGCAGTCATCTCCAGTAAACAGAGGGTACCAATACCTGTCTTTGAAGGTCAACCATCTGAACCCGCCCACGGATCTATCGAACTGCGCTCATTGGAAGCGTCATCTGGATCGACCAAGTCGCTGAGAGCACGGAGTGAAGGCACACTCGGGCAAACACCTTGGATCGGTATGGCCATTGGGTTAACTTGTACGGCCTTGGCCGCGGTGATGCTTGGGTGACTGAATCCACGATTACGGTTTCTTCTATACATACAGCAGACTTCCCTGCTTTGTGCTGGACATTATGAGCACTCCTGCATTATCGGAGTTTTGTTTTCTCTTCTTTCCCGGATCTGAGCTGTCCGATGATTTGGCTCGTTTGCGACAAGCGTCGCATACATTCGCCGCGGCCTGCGGGAGCCTCCTTCAAAAACGAGGCGCGCATCCATGGCCTATGTTCTTGATTTTTCTATATTTTCTTCTTTTTCACTTGCATTGACATACCCTCACTCGATATAGACTGGGTTGCCGATCTTATTGGCGGAACGTGTACATGATACCTTATATTGCTCTTCTTGTGGTTATAACCAGGCGTCTTTTTCTTTTTTTCTCTCCTGATGGATATTGATATGGCTGATTGCAGGTGTGAAGACAACCAATGATGTACCTACTACTACTACTTAATTCTGCCATCAAGGCATGATTACAATGATGATAGCTAATATCACTTGACATCTCGTCCAATCATTTCACTTACCAAAACGGGGTTTCCGGTTCTTTGTTTGCTTCATCATCCAAAATACGAGAAAGAGGCTGAGCTGCAGATCGACAGCCAGCCAGCCTTATTCTCCTCTAACCTCCACAGACAGCTCTCTCCCATCTACTCTTTTCGCAATCGCGCCCAAAACCATCCCATATTTATAAACCCACATAACAAACAGCAAGCCATCAGGTCGTCGGTCCTCAAAAAACAAATGTCCACACCAAACAACACGCCCCCATACACACCCATGCCCTCCCTCGGCCACGAGCTAGGCGTCATGTTCGGTTTTATCGTCGCTTGTTTGCTAATCATGGCAGTATACATCTATTTCTGGCGGGGTATGGCAATCAATCAATCCCACCCACCGTTCCCCACATTCCATACTCCATACCCCACGTGTGTGTTCCCAATCAGAAGAGAATCTGGCTAATAAATATCAATGAAGCTGCGGACCGCCGCGACAAGCAGCGTGATAAGGATCGGCAGAGGGAGCTTGCTCAGCGGGCGTTTCGGTATGAGCGTTTCCGGGTGGGAGGTCCGCGGGACAAGATGCATAGGGAGATTGGGGCGCCGGGAGGAGCTGGAGGTACGGAGATGAGATGAGGGGTATAGCTTATGATTCTGATGGAGTTATGTTGTGTTTGTAGAAATGGGATAATGGGTGGAAAAAGGTGTACGGTTTGGTTGGTCTATGACGAGGGCGTTGATGGTAGGAGTTACTTATATGGTCAATTTTAATGGGATATTCTGTCTGTCTACCATGCTTTGATGCGGTGCGATGCCACTTTATCTGAACGCGGTCAATACCGCTGCTAGGACCCTGCAACTGCGCCTACTACTTGCCAATAGCAAGAAACAAGCGGTCTCCGATATCCCCCACCCCAGGCACAATCATCCCCCGCTCATCGCACTGCTCGTCGACGGCGCCCACCCACACCTCCACGCCCTCTGACCAGCACTCGGCCGCACGACGAAGCCCCGGTTTCGAACCGAGCACGCTGAGCATGATCACCCGCTGCACGCCCCATTCGCGGAGGAGCTGGATGGCGGCCTCGGCCGTGGCGCCGGTCGCGATGATGGGGTCGAGCAGGATGGCGAGGGTGGCGGCGGTGGAATTGGTAGGGGAGTCGGGGCGCAGGAAGGGGAGGTTGTTGTAGTATTCGACTGGTTGGAGAGTGAACTTGTCACGGAAGAGGCCGAGGTGGTAGATGGGGACGGTGGTAGGGAGGAGGTTGTTGATAGCTTGAGCATGGTTCAGCAGCAGTTCGCAGTACGTCCATGGACAAGAGAAAACATAGGGATACCCTCAATCATGCCCAATCCTGATCGGAGAATAGGCACCAAGGCCACGTTAGCTGGGTCAATTGTCTTCGTCTCATACTCAATGCCCAGCGGGGTTTTGTCCTGTGGTAGGGAGTCAGATTAAATTGTTTTGCGGTATTGGAGCTCCTGATCAGGAAGAATAACCACCTTTGCACCACTGGCAACCTTCAACCCGGCAGCAAAGGCCTCAACCCCTAGAATGGTTGCAATATCATGCACCAGACTGCGAGTCTCGCGAGGAGAGGTGGAATGCGACCGGAGCTGGGAGAGCTTGGCCTGGAGGCAGGGATGGGAGGAAACATGGACATTGGAGGGGAGCGTCATCTTAGATTCGAATGATAGTTATTGTGAGATGCAAAAGTGAAGCAGATAAAGAAGAGGGATTCGAGGAAGGGATGAAGAGGGGATAGAGAGGGGCTGATGAGTTGTATCGCTGTAGCAGTTTTGGATGAGCTGCACAGTTAAGCATGCCGCAGGAAGAAACAGCTGCTTAGCCCCTTTCATCCGCTCCTCTTCATCTCCCCTTTATTCCTCACTATCTCTTCTTCTCTATGGAGTATATCTCTGTTGACATGCCAACGATATGGATCAATGACATCTTGAGGTCTTATCAGACATCTCCATGGAGTATCTCTCTCTGATAAGAACAGACCCACCACTCTCTTTGCACCTCCGTCACCAGTCTCTCCGGTTCTCTTGGCATTGGGCGTACTCATCAAGGGCTTGAAAAAGCGTCATCCTCATGCAGCAATCGTCCCAAGACCAGCCCGCTGGTCTCTCTGAAAGTACTGCTCTACCTCCTACGCCCTCAGACCCTCCTCAGCGTCAGTCCTGGTCATCCACCGGCTACGCGCTGCCTCCCACCACCGAAAAGCCTCCCTCGGCTCCCATCGAACCTACACCCGCAAAGCGTACTCCCACCATACAACCGCTCTCCAAACATGCCACTCACCTCTTCACACTTTCATACCTCGTCTTCTTCTCCATCTTCGGCACCCTGGCCAGGCTGGGCCTGCAAGCGCTCACCTTCTATCCCGGCGCGCCCGTCATAACCGGCGTCCTATGGCCCAACGTGGGCGGCTCCCTCCTGATGGGCTTCTTCCTTGAAGACAAGAATCTCTTCCGCGAAGAATGGGGTCAACCGCCCCCTCATAGCCCCAGCGAAGCCAGCGACGCTGCGCGCCAATACGCACAGAACCATAAATCGGTCAAGAAGACCATCCCGCTCTACATCGGCCTCACCACCGGCTTCTGCGGCAGCTTCACCTCCTTCTCCTCCTTCATCCGCGACGTCTTCCTCGCCCTGACAAACGACCTCCCCGACCCATCCGTCTCATCAATAACTTCCCGAAATGGCGGTTACAGCTTCATGGCCCTCCTCGCCGTCCTCCTCACCACCGTCGCCCTCAGCCTCTCAGCACTCATCTGCGGCGCCCACCTCGCCCTCGCCTTCGACCGCTTCACTCCTTCCTTCCCCTTCCGTCTCACCCGCCGCGTCCTCGACCCGCTCTTCGTCCTGCTGGGCTGGGGCTGCTGGCTCGGCGCCGTCTTCCTAGCTATCTGGCCACCGGATCGCTCCGCCAGCACCAACGCCCCAGACACCTGGCGCGGGCGCGCCGTTTTCGCCATCGTCTTCGCCCCGCTCGGCTGTCTCCTGCGGTACTATCTTTCGGTATACCTCAACCCGCGCGTGCCCGCGTTCCCGCTGGGGACTTTCACCGTGAATATCTTCGGCACGATCGTGCTGGCCATGTGCTTTGATCTGCAGCGGGTGGACGGGATCGGGACTGTGATTGAGGCAGATGCGCGCTCGGCGCCGTATGCGATCCTCACGAGTTGTCAGGTGCTCCAGGGCGTCATAGATGGCTTTTGTGGCTGCGCGACGACGGTGAGTACCTGGGTGGCGGAGCTGAATGGGCTCAGTCGACGGCGACAGGCGTATGTGTACGGTGTGGGAAGCGTCGCCGTTGCACTGGGGTTTTTCGTGGTGATCGTGGGCTCGCTCGGTTGGACTCGGAGTTTTGTCGACCCTGTTTGTACATAATTAAACCATCGGCGGCTCTTTTTGTATATATTCATTCAGATCTTCTCCGCATATCTAATCAAGACTGTCCACTCTTACGATAGGCTTCTACGCAGACTCAAGGGTATCCCCGCTAAACGATGTATTTCTTTTTGCACGGAAATTACTTATAGTACAGGGTACTACGACGATAGAGCATGTCCAAGATCAAGGAAGTCAACAAACGAATAAACATTAACGCAGGCAGAAAGCCAAAATGCACAAACGCAAACATGCAAGCGCAGAAATGAAGAACGACTCGACATAGAGAGGAGAGACGCGAAAAGACATCAACAATGCTGCGGGGATGGCGTAAACACATAACGATTCAGAACGGTTCTAACTCAGCACAGGCATTAAAAATCCAAAAAAAAGGGTGGTCAAAAGAATAGAAAGTAATAATAATCAATAGTGGGTCGAAGGAGTGACTTGAAGAGAAAGGTGAGAATAAAAAGGAGGCCAATGAAGTATATAACGAACAAGGTATCAATATGGTCCAGGGACAAATCAAATCGGCAGATTGACCACAAACATGCTGATGCGCACTAGGAATTAAGGGTTCTTCGAACGAAAATGTCGAAAACAACAACTCCACCGAGTGCTAAGAGGGAGAACACACAGGACCAGCCGGGTGTCGAGATGTTGCCTGGGACAAACAACCCATTAAAAACAAAAAGCAAAAAATGACCACACCGGACTCCTGTGAGCTCTTGCCAAAACCAACAGGATGAACCATGATAAATGCAAGAGAAAGACACCTCAACTGAGGAGAAGAGCAAAAGCAAAACAAAATCAGAAAAAGCACAAAACCAACAGAGTAGTATATCAGTCGGGAATCACCAGCAAGGAGCATTATGCGGCAGTTCAGATCATCGCATTCCGTCGTTGAAGAACACACGTTGCCGCCCACCTGCTGCGAATTCCTTCCCGACCCCGAGTTCCGAAATTCAGCCAGTATCCAAATTGATGTAGAATGAGTGCCCAGTAATGAGAGTATACGCAATAAAAAACGAGGAATGCAGAAAGGAAGTGAAGACCGCAATATGTAAGATATACTGTCGGTACACTGAATTGAGTCCCAATGTTGCTGTTGAGACTAGTAGGCAGTCCCAACACTAGCAAGTGTCTTGGTTGGCATTGGATGAATCGGCTGATCCTTGGCAACGCGCAACGAGTCTTCATAGCCGATCAAGGCTTGAGCATGAAGTTTGAACGATTCCCCCATGAGCTTGGTGATTCTAAACACGATGTTAGCAATCAACTCTTTACACCCGTCGAATAGAGAACAACTTACCCCCAGACTACCACGCCGTCCAGGATGTTACCCCATACACGGGCCACGGTGGAGCTGAGTTTACCAAAAGCGTCAACGGCGTCGTCGTCAAACAGATTCCGGACCTTGTTGTAGATGGCCAGCTCAGCCTCGGTCGCGGGCTCTTCGTCGTGTTCCAGGCGATAGAGCCAGAGACTGAGGATGACCATCAGATCCAAGCCGCAGAGCGGATGCTCGACACTCCAATTTGTTGCCGACGTCTTGGCAACCCAATTGATGCCTTGGACTGCTGCAATCTCGATGCACTCGAAACATGACTGGATCACCTTGTTCATCTCCCCAGACCGCTTCACCTTCTCACGGGCCACTGTCATCGCAGCAGCAACCTCGTAGGAAGAATGGTAGCGCAAGGCTTCCTGGATTGACTTGAGGTCAACCTCTAGGCGAGCACGCGTGTTACGATAGACAGCCATCGAGTTGAAGATCAATGGGTGTCCGTTCTGAGGCGTGCTCAGAGGCACGACGATCGTCTCTGGTTCGCAAACTTCCAGAGAACTCTCCCATGTCTCCAGCGCAAGGCGGAGCTTGTACTCAGTGACCACGTCCTGAAGAGCTTCAAAAGTCCTCTTGTGGTTCCACACCTGTAAGAAAAGGGCGTTAATCAAGACCCGAGTGGCAAAGGCACTGTAACGCGTCTGTTCGCCCTGGAAAAGACAGTCGTGAGCTTCCCGGACGGTAAGTGTGCTGGCAGAGGACAGGCTCCGACGCCAGGCCTCGTCGTCATTGACGTCCAGGTTCCACATCGACTCAGAGGACGGCAGCTCGAGATTGTCGAATTCGTCGAAGCTCATTGCTGGGGTGTGGTTGAATGTCAGAGTGAGCATGCCGAAGAAGATGTAGACGGCGTAGTAAGTCCGACGGCAGGACTCGTCCTCGATCCATTCCTCTCTAGTTGGTTGACGGCCCTCGCGAGCTTCCGTTCTGACCTTCAATTGATAACGGTTTCCAGCAACCATGTTGGCGAGCAAGCTCTTGATCGAGCAGGTCCACTCGAGACCTTTGGGATCACCACTCCAGCTCTCAAAAATCATGTTCAACAGAGTGCTTTGCATGGACCACAGTGGACATTTTCTCGAATCGAAATTCTCCTTGTGTTGCAAGAATTGGTTCACGAGCATCTTGGATCCGACGTGGAGCATGAATGCGTGTTCGCGCTCGAACATGTACAGAGCACCAATGGAAAGAACGGCCAGCAACAACGGAGGGGAAGCCATGGTGGGCTTGAACGACTCCTGATGCAAGAATGGCAGATGGTGATGGTACAGGTTGAAGTACGTTGTCAGGTACCTGTTCAGAGCAGCAGTCGAGGGAAGCTGGAAAGTCTCCGGAAGCGCACCCAAGGAGTCGGCATTTCTGATGCGCTCCACAACCATATTCCGCTCCATGTCATTCGCGATCTGGGGGGCCTTGGGCAGTGTCAGAGCCTGGCTAGGTCCAGGGGACCTCCGGTAGTTTACGGGACTGACAGGGCCTGTCATTGAGGGGAATGGTGAGAGCGCGTTAGGTGTGGAATTTCCGGACATCGGAAGCGAGCTGACAAGGGAGTGGAGCGAAGGCGCAAGAGTGTCGCCTCGATCCAGTACGTTTGGCAGCTGACGCAAGTCCGATCCATTGCCTTGGCTGACGAAAGTAGGGTTCATCATGTGGTGCTTCATGTCGGCAGGAGAAACCAATGTATCCCAGGGCATCTGAGGAAGAGTCGCGTTGCCAGACAGGTATGCGGAGGAAGGCTCCATTAACGAACCCCGACCGGGCGAAAAAGAGCGGTCGGATTCAGCACGATCGTGGACCTGACCAGTTGCGGCGGCTGCGGCCTTATGTTGGAAATCTGTCATCAACATGGCTGCGGCTTCAAGGTCGACCATACCGTCACTGCTTGCCTCAAGCTGTTCTAATGTGGTAGGATCAATTGTGATCGAGGGCTTGGATGGAGCAGGTGCAGGGGAGGACTTCTGAACACCTGCGCCTCCACGACGACGTCCCTCAGCAACAAGAGGTATCCCACCATCTTTGGCGTGAACAGTACGATCATGGCGGAGGAGAAGATCTCGACGAACGAAAGTACTCCGGCATTTCAAACATTTAAAGGGTCTCTCTTTGGTATCTGCGCGACAAGAAATCAGTCGACGTTCAACAGAAAGATAAAGTTTGGTCGCGGATTCGGTCCTCCCCGCATCAAGGTCAACGGGAGGGAAATGACTTACGTGAGCGTTCATGTCTACTACGATGTTCACTTCGGCTGAATGCACGATTGCAGAATTGGCATTTGTATTTCTTCTCTGGGACGGTAGTCTTCTTGGCCGGCGTGTTGCTGGCCTGGTTGGATGCTGCTGGAGCCATGTCGGAAGAGACGGGGCAGCCGGAAAGCAGGACCACGAGTTCCTTCTCAGCAAAGTAGAAGCGGCGAGGAAGACTGCGGTATCGTGCCTTTTGTGAGTTCGCTCCGGTTCTGTAGGCGGGTTGACGACAAGAAATCGATTTGATGTCTGATCATTCCTTGGGCGGGGAGGTAAATGGTTGTGCGAAAGTTGATTTCGGAAGGGGTTCCAGCCACAGGCGGACCAAGAGGGGGGAAATGTCAGACGGAGAGAGACTCGACAATAATAGAGAAGAAGTATAAAAGAAGAAGAGAAACGGTTGATCCACACAAACCGTGTTAGAAAATATGTTGAATGACTTGGGAAAGGGAGGAAGAGAGGAGGGGGGAGGTAAGAGGGAAAAGGAAGAGAGGGAGGAGGGGGAATGTTGATGGATGAGGAGAAAAAAAGAGGGAGAGGAAATAAGCAAGTTGCGAGAAGAGGTAGAAGAAGAAGAGTGGGAAAGTTTCTGGGAGGAGGGTCTGGGTTCTGAAAGGGAGCGAGCGAGGGGTGGTGGACTGGTGGTAGACTGACTGGTAGGAGGGGGAAGAGGTGCACCATAGAGGGGGCCAAGAAAGCGAGAGTGGGAAACGGGCTGCCAGGTCGTGTGCAGAAGAAGCTGATGGGAGATTCGGACGATCGCTGGATCGCAACAGTGAGGCGGGTCTTACAGTAGCCCAGTCTAAGGCTCTAAGCAGCAAAGCAGGGGCTCCAAACGGGATTCACGGAGCGGACTCAGTATGGAGTAGTGCCAGGACAACCACGCACTAGGAGTTCTTTTGCCACTGCCAGAATCCGTGTCGGCCTATCAGAAATTTTGGAAAATACCATTCTGACTAACGGCATGGCTAACTATACGCTTTTAGGTTAGACTTAACACGTCCATCCATGTCCTCTGAGCCAAGTACTACGGTAATTCGTACTCTTGAATAATACAAACAAAAACATACAGAAATACTTCCCCGACGCGCTATGTTACAGACAGGGAAGCTCTCTCTCAAAAGACACTTCTCTGGACCATCTGTCCCAAAGGGGCCAAAGCCGAGTGAGCCACAGTGGCCGTCAAGTGCTAAAGTGCCATCCCGTCAACCCGGTTCAACCGGGGTTTTCGCTTGACTTGGCATACAGAGACGACATCCACGCTATCACCAGCACCTTCTGTACCCACTGTCGCACATATCATCAGAGACATCATCATCATCCCCGTCTTCCATATCTTGGCGCTATTATTGTGACCACAGAGTTACGTTCTTGATCTTTCCTGTACCTCTCTGAATGTAGTAGAAACTGCCTAGCTCAAAAGTCGAACAGCACAGAGTGTTGGGCAGCTGCATTAACATGAACTTGGTATTGATTGTTTGCAAATTGGTGGAGTTGCAAGTATGACCAGTAGCATTCTCCTTATCTAATAACAATTCTGTTCCTCTTCCAACGATCCGATTGGTATAATGTAGATAATGGTGCATATCTGACAATAGGTGGATATATCATCCCTGCCCAGCCCCTTTCCTGATGATACCTTGACTTGTTTCTGCAAATGCAAGATCTATCTATCTGCTAAATATTGGATCTGTAGCTGCATTGTGGGCTAAATCGATCTAGCTGCTTCATTTCGGTCCATGGAGGAGAATGATCGATCCCCTTCATCGAGAGTCTGACCGCAATGTGGGCTGTTTTGTTGGTATGACGGGTACAGGTGGGGTACAAATCGCTTCATAGAACCATACTCCTCCGATTTGTATTGTTGTGTACCTCTCTATCTACGGGGAACCTATCCCTATCATCCCTCTCCTGATAAAATGGTCCTCTTGATCGTGGTCGGGGACTGATAAGACAACCTGGCTTTTTCAACTACTTCTTATTCCATAATGCTTCGTGGAGTTGATTGGGACCTACTACATCCATCATCAAGTGTCGTAAATATGGAGTAACTACTCCGTAGTAAGTGAGACTACTCTAACCTCCGTAGGAACCTAGGCATCTAGGCAGTAATCACACGCACCTTAGCCCCTCCAGACAACAAAGCCGGAAGCCGAAGGCCCCTCGTCAAGCGCCCCCCTTGGCCCCTCCAGAACTAGCAAGGATTCCTCAGCGACCATCAAAATGCCACAACCACAAAAGCAAAGCAACTGGTCTCACATCTCCCTATCAGTAGTATTCATAGTCTTGTTCCTTTCATTTCCACCAAAATTCCTTCCAGACAAGCTAAAGTTCTAACAATGTTACTGGTTGTTGCTGCGCACTCATATTTGATTATTTCTATATTATTATTATTATTATTATTATTATTATTATTATTATTATTTTCTGGACTATCACTTCATTTTTTGCAATCGCGGATTGAAAGGGGGAAACAAAGACACCCCTCCAAAACCCGCCACCCACTTATCAAGTGATTACCCCTCGGTCCCCTCCTGTCCTCGTCTTCCCCTCTATCAAGATATGGAAGTCTTGGGGGAAAGATGTATGCTAATTGTCTGACTTGCTCAGCCCCTCCTTTGCAACCATGGTTACGAGTGTAACCAGCCTCAAGTGATCAAGACATCAGACATTCGGTACTTGGTAATCAACAAGGAACAAGATTTTAAGTGTCTTTCTCCTTGCCCACTGAACTGCGCCTTCATTGCCAACATCGATGCACTAGTGGCTTATACTAAGGTAGTGTTCAATAAATAAATGATTCTAGTTTGTTGATCGTCGTTTGATCGAGCCTACTGTTGTTCGAGACCCGTGGTCTGTCACTATGACGAACAGTACTCATCCATTTCCAGGAACAGATATCAAGTCTCAGTAAGACTGGTATGTACTGTTATCCCACCAAACGCATGGCTGTCATATCGTCAAAGGATATAGAGAATCGAGTATTTGGTTTGAAGTCGCCCACGACATGAGCCGTTGATAATTATTCTCCTAGAAGTGCACACATAGATCTGGCTTCGCTCAAATGGGAATTCGTGGCTGAAAGATCATATCTTGACGATAGTTACAGCTCACACAGGATGTCCTCTACCCCCACAACCGCAAGGTCTAAGAAGTGGTGTGTTGTACAGATACTCCATGGCGACTCATTCAGGAGCTGTTCAGTGGTCACCTGCCCCAAAACTAGATAGACAGCGAAGCAAATTGCAGCATCACACTGGACGAATATAGAACAAACCACACATCTCTCTGTTTTTGAAACTTGCAGTTGTCGGGCTGGTGAGGACCATGGCAGGCATGCAAACATACCTTACAAATTCAAAAAAGAGGTCCTTTCTCCTTATGATGGAGACTTGAATAGTTAAAGCCCCATTAGGATGCAAGTCTGCATCATAACTACATAAACTGTTTATTGTTTAATTCTGGTGCTTGCTGCGCCCAAACTCAAGAGGCAGCAACTCCCTAAATCTGTACCTTGTTGTATCATCCTTGCCCTCTGCATAAGTGGCATGGGGCGGCATGCATCTTCGAAAACTGTGGCTGCCTGCGCTTACCAGCCTCACTCGGAGACGCGCTCTCATTCCGGTTCCACATCTAAAAATGAGGACGCCCTAGCGATACATACGACGTACCGCGTATGTGTAAAGACATTACGCAGCTGATAGATGCCTATTATTTTGTTTCCATGTTTGACATCGTAGTCGCATATCTTCAGTAAGTTCAGTTTGCCCCTCTGTCTGCCCCTCCATAGAGGGCTATGGCCATACCCCGCATGATCTTTGGCGTCCGCCGGGTTCTCAGGTAGGAACCATGGATGCAACGATGGACAGCTGGAGCTGTTTGGAATTGGGTCTCGCTAACAGGATACTAATCATGTGACTTCTTAGATCAATAACACCATGCGGTTATTGCTGCTACTGAACGCATGTCACAAGCAAGTCAGAGACAACCCTCAGAGGTGGAAGGGATTCCCGTAAAATCCCGAAGATTCTTGGTGGGCCTCTGTCTAAGTCACAAATACGGAGTAGAGAGGTACACACTGCGCCAAAATCTGGAGTTACTAGGGTAACTCACATGACCCGCTTCGATAATCTATTACCCTATTGGGAAAATACGCGACTACGAACTCCATACCTTGCTGGCTGGGTCTCAGATATCAATGCGCGTCTCTCGATCCTGGCAATATCAATCATAGACATGGATTGAAGGGTTTAAGAAAGATGCACAGATCATTATAAGCGAGACCATCTATCTGAGATTACTATTATGCAATTATGCAGCATACTTTCACCCCAATAGGACTCCAGACCGTCGTTCTGCGCGTCATCCTCTCCTTCACGGTACTCAACCTGCAGGAAACAAAGTATTTCGTTCACACCGCCCTCGTCTTGTCTGGCCAGGCAAGTTCCAAGAGAGCGGTGAGCCGCAGAGCTTACGCTTTTCAGTAAGACACATGGGAAGAGAGACGGCCTGGCAGGAGAAACTGGACTTTACTCTCTAATTCGTAGCTCGCAGTTGTACTCCCTCGTTGGCTGGGATCTCTCCGATCCACTGTGCACCGCCATGCAGCGGTCCGTTCCATATCAACATCCTATCAGTGGCGAGTCCGCTCTTCAGGAGACAGGCGATGGCTTCAACGGATCCAGCGTAGCCCGCAGATCGAAGAATTCTGACTCCTTCATGAAAGGCTTTCAGAAGGCTCAACTGACTCGAGTCCGGTGAAACCGTCTCAGTCTCAACTTGACTGAGGACTTGCTCTTTGGGATCAGAGTTTAAGGGCGAGGACAAAAACTGCAGCCTGTAGATGGATACTCCGTAGCTAATGCACTATCGTTCCAGACGGCTCTAACAACTGAAACACCAGCAGTCCCAATAGGTTCTGCGTAAACTATAAACCATTTTTATCCAATCTATATGAAAATTGGAATAGATCTTTGAAAGTGCTGCTTCAAACTCCCAGTCTATAGAATTTCTGGATGGTATGCCCCTCCATAAATGACAATAATGATAGCGGTAGTTGATCTATCCACCGCATCAATCAATAACCTACTACGCGTGTCTGCTGACTACCAGTACTTATGATCCCATTATTGTTCTCCACTAGGTACCGTTGCAGGAAGCGAGGAACAGCTTCCCCGGGGCCCATTTCCCAAGCTAAAGGTAGTGGGCATCGGTAGCGTCGTAAGTCGTCTTGGCTGAACTAGATATGTCCCGACCCTGCGTACCGCGTTGCTGTCCTTGTTCTGTCCAGTGTACCGCTACTTTGACTTCTGTCGGGGACTTCCCGAAATAGCCATTACTTTGGAGTCGGTGAAGCCTGACAGGGACAGAGTTGGAGATGAACAACTGTCGTATCGCTATTCGTTTCGATTGCTTCTACTCTGTACAGTTTGGCCGTTAGATGGCTAGTAGACGACAGCGAAATACATAATTTCCACTGCCCAGTTTCGCTTACAGAGTACAACTGGCTGAGTTCGACTGGATCAACTGGCAGATAGACTTTCCATTCTGCGTTTGCACTTCCTTAGACAGTCACACGAAGACAGCCATGATAATCTCATGTTCTAGACCGTTTCTTCGGTCTTGATGTCTTTGCTTCTTTCTTGAATTTCTCCTTTGCTCGAGGTGGATCGATCTCCATTGTGTGTTTTCGCTTAACGAGGGCTCGAGTCTAGCAGTTCTTCAGAATTAGCGAATGAAGTCGATCTCATGCTCAACATGATTGCGGTGTGTGATATGACTCGCTTATCATCTTATGGGGCTGCGAGGCTCATTTTGGAGCAGGTTGTCCTAGGCTCGTAATGGCCTTCAAGGTGAGAGGGGCTTAAACATACTGTCAATATTGCAATTTGTCCCAACTCAAAGTCCACAAAGAACTATAGAATCGCGTCTAGTCCATTCAGCCGGGCCCGGCTTGGTACAAGATTTCCGGTCGATATCTTAATGGTACCGTAGGGGCGAGTTTGTTCCATGGTACTCTTCCGTAGCGGGTGTCTGAACCGCAACTGTCAACTGGATGCGTAAATGGATATCCAAACAACATGTCAACTCCAAGTCTCCATCAGAGTTCTACAGTCTTTTTGATGTCGCATTGTAGGATTTACTAGAAGTGGATACAGAGGTTCAGGCTACCTATGCTTAAAGCAGTCACAAGTCATACTCTGTATTTACATAGGTAGAGTACCGCTCAGTAGTAGATAGTACAGATACTACTGGTGCAAGGATATATTCACAAATCCACCCAAACTAAATCGCAATCTTTGTCCAGTAACATACTTACGCTGATCTAGACTATCCTCCATTACCGCTATGTAGGTATACGCTACCCAGAACTCCAACAGGCGGTGTCGCATATGGACTGTACCTGCGCCTGCACCTAGACGCAGAATGCCAGGATCGGCTACAGATGCATTTGTTGAGATCATGATGAGTGGTCACCGCCTCTTCTGTCCCTGAGTAGGTCAGTGAGAGGCTTGTAGTTCAGCCGCTCAACCGCATAAATATGAGATCATTGTAGACGCCGAAATCAACCAACGTCTGACACCGATGTAAGGTTCTTACCTGCCTATTTTGTCCATCCTTGGGTCGAGGTCTGACTGATGATGTATTCCAACAACATGCATACCTTGCGCACCTCCAGACGGGACGGCACATAGTGTATTCTGTATTCTTCTGGAAACCGAAAGAAACCCAAGACAGAAGTACGAATACAGAATACGGTCACTGACGACCATCCTAGGCTCCGGTAGGCTAGCACTTCATCCCTGGACGCTGTAAAACCCCAGCACCAAGAAGCCGGATCCCCTTAATCAAAAAATCCAAGACGATGAAAAGCATGGAAGGATAGAAAACCCTCCACCACCCCACTGCAACATATCTGATTGGATCCAAGAAGCCTTCTGGAAGACTCACGAAGCCAGGTCTCAGGTCTGACTCTGCGACATCAGCGTGGCTTACCGGATTAGCATCCGCTTCCCGCTGTCCCAGCTGGTTGGATGACTGGGAAAAAGGGGGAGGGGCAGAAGTCGATACAGGATGGCCCGGCTAAGCTAGTGGTCTCGTTCTTTAGACTACATATTGCTTTTTTCGGGGTCCAAAATTCTGGGCTTCTGGACTCGTAAGTGGCCGCCAGTTTGACTTTTATTACGAACGGCAGTACGGAGTACAAAGTATCCATCCAGACCAGACGACCAGGGATTCTGCATCGACAGATTCGACGGTCTGTCATAAAGAAGAAACGAATCAGTGGGCGGCTTGCGCAAAACACAAACTCTGAGAGCCACAATGGGAACCCGGGGGATTGGTCCGATTGCAAGATGCAGCAGGGGAGCGGGATGCTTGCATTATGATTTGCCTTCCTTGCTTTTCATGTTCTTGTTTCGGTCTGGTTTTTGCCATTTTTGACACGGTACGGAGTATAGATCCAAAGGATCGATCTGTACTTCCTGGCGATGAGACCCAGAGAGGATAAACCCTACTTCCATGCTAGCCCATGTTTCTGAATTAATAGATAGAAACATCATGGTTAGCGGACTTTATTTGCAGACCATCGGTCTACTACTAAGTGAGAGTATTGATTGTGCTGTAGCTGATCTATTGTGCTGGGAAACCCTCCAATTGCAACTTGGTCAAGAAGATAATATTCCATTGAATCATTGCACGAGAAGTCAATGTAGAAAGCCATGGCCATATGAGAAGGCCTCCTATTCTAAAATAGACGACTTGGTGTAACTAAACCACTCCACATGCTAATTTTCACCCTCTTGCGCTATGCTTAAGATACCCTGGGGGTAATTACGCTGTCATTCAACGCACTGTATTGAAGGGGAGTATGGAAGTAGTCAATCTTTAGAAGTATTGAATTGCACTGCAAACTTTCAAACTGAGAGCAGATATCATGCCCGTTGATTGAACTACATCGTAGGGGTTGACATGAAGTTTGACCTGGACGAAGCCTTCCGTCATAGATGCATCGATATCGTGGTATCCGTCCTCTTGAGCGAAGGTAGTGGCCAATGTAAATAAATTGTCTCGGTACGTCGTTGATGCAGCAGAAATAGCTCCTCAAGCTTGAGGGTCCTCAATATCTACCTGACCTAGCAGTTCCATCATGGCTCTCGTCTTGCCTGGCTCGCGGAGCATTGGCGAACACTCGGTTATAATGAAAGAACGCCGCAGATTTTTCATTCAGGAACATATCTTTATGAGGGCGAGAAATATATATCCCTGTAGATCCCCTTTGGCAGCATGAACCGCGCCCTGATATGCCGCCTCCCCAGACATGGCTTATGGTTCAGTAGCTCTTGTTCTGATCAATGTGTGTGTCTCGATCAGATTGGTTTTTGGGATAGTTTATCAGAAAAGCGCATTTCAGTCTGAGAGAGCAGTTATGATAGGGAGAGTGCCATTAATTGAAGCTGATGTAATCAAGGGCTGTTTTTATGCCATCATGCACTCAAGGAGCTGACAAGAATCCGAGGTTTCTATATGCATATTGCCTCAGAATTCTGATTAATACTGGTTGGTAGAGGGATGGCTTACTAGGATTGAATACAAGGAGGTATAAATACAGCAAGAAGCAGTGAACTCACACCATTAGCTTGACAAAGAGACAGAAATATATATTAACATCTAACAGATCTCAAGAACATTCTAACGAACAGAGGTTAACATTAGTCTACGAACCTAGGTTAATGTATTTCTGGCGCAAACATTAGAGCTTGCAAGGCTCTTCGTCTCACTCTAATTGAACATTTGATGGATATAGGACCTTTCTAAACTTCTGCTCCTCTGGTAGCCATCTGTCACGGGGAATCCGTCCACATGAGGGATCCTAATCACGACATCCCTTGGAACAGTACAATAGGGCGATAAAGCCATGAACAGCCAGCTGCTATGCTTGATAATGTCAGGGGTTAGTCGTCAGTGAGAAGCCTGGCTGGCTTCCTTGCTCAGTTCTTGGTCTTTTCTCAGCCACTTTCCGCCGTATGTCCGGCCTGATACTCGACGGGATCTCCTCCGAAATTAGTATGAAGTGATGGGCAATAAGATACTTAAGAGAAGCATCATACCGAGGCTGCTCTGCACCAGCAGCCTGTAGTTCATCTAAACAGGAATTATCCATACCTCTGCCAGAGGGCGCTGTCAGATCTGAAGGAAGGTAACCAAGGCACTCATTCTGGAGGGTTGTACAAGACAGCCTGCGCCAATTCTGCGGTGCCACTAAGAACATCGAGTCCAAACCAGTCTACCGAGGAGTGTAGTTGAATTCGTCACTCAAGCAAAGAGCCTGCAAACGGATTAAGGGATGTGGATGTCCAAGCTTTACCTGACGTCTCGAGGTCAGTGCACCAAAAGATGAAGTCTAAATCATAGATGTTGGAAAGACTCATACCGCAGTACAGTACGCCTGGAAGCACCACACGTGCCATATATTTCATAAATAAAGAAGAATTTTACCGTCGGGTAGCTCAATTCACAGCCATTATCAAGCCGAGGATCGTGGCAAGTAACGGCGAGCGCCGCAGGCCAAGAAGCTGTCAGCATGACCCGCGGGTAGTCTGGCACTCTCAAGTGACATGATCAGTCGCACACGTTGACCGGGGTCCTTACTACTTCTGGGTTTCGAGGCGAGGAGAGAATTTGAAGCCAGGTGTTTCAAGATAATGGATGCATATTATTGCTTACCGTACAGGAATCCTTGGATCTATTATTTGACGGGC